AGAGATGGGGTCTCACTCTTGCTCAGGTTGGTCTCAAATTCCTGAGCTTAAGTGATCCTCCTGCCTCGGCCTCCCAGAGTGCTAGGATTACAGGCCTGAGCCACCTCACCCAGTCTATTTACTGTTAGTTTGTGTCTTAGCTATGTTTCTCTCTATGGATTTATGATGCAAAAGTGTCTTCTTGACTTCAGATATAATAATTCCAAGCTAATGGATACCTATGGCTAACAGATTTGGCTTTCTTTCCTTATTACCTATATTTTCGGTCCTTTCTTTCCCTCATCTTTCCCATTCTTTTATTCCTTACCCTCTCCCACCTACCTTGCTATGTCAGACTTTTTATAATGCATAAAGCAGAGAAGCCTGATTACTGTCAGGAGGTGATACCAATGAGGAAGGTCTCAGAAGTTGATATCTTATTTGCCACTAGATAGAAGTGGAAAAGAAAGCTCTTCCTCCTTGCTGCCAAAAGAAGGATGGAGGGAAAGTGGTTTCCTTGACTACCTCTAATCCTTTCCCACCCTTCTGATCCCATTCTTCCAAAATAGCAGCCAGCACTCTCTCCACTGCCTAAAGCCTGCCCTTACCTGTTGTGTCCGAGACTCAGAAGCATGGTCAGGAGCTGCTCTCTCCCTAGCTTGTTGCCAGACCAGTCATTGCTTTCCTGTTGCACAGGGAGACTCAGATAGGCAAATATATTGCGCTGCATGAGTTATAAGTATATATTACATAATTATGTGATTATGTTAAATGTGTGTATATATACTTTTTCATTTTGACAGGAGAGAGATTTAGTCCTGGAGTTGGACAGGTAAATGCTGCAGATGAAATTAAGCGGGAGATTATCCATCAGTTGAGCATCAAACCTATGGCTCATAGTGAATTAGTGAAGTCTTTACCTGAAGATGTAAGTACCTATATTTTTTAAAAAGAAAATCATAGAAATCCTTCTCTACCTATCAATCTAGTCCATATAGATTTCCCTTTTCTTTGAGACAGAGTCTTACTCTGTCGCCCAGGCTGGAGTGCAGTGCAGTGGCGTCAGCGTAGCTCACAGCAACCTCAAACTCCTGGGCTCAAGTGATCCTCCTGCCTTAGCCTCCCAAGTAGCTGGGACCACAGGCGTATGTCAATGCACCAGGCTAATTTTTCTATTTTTTGTAGAACTGGGGTCTTGCTCTTGCTCAGGCTGGTCTTGAACTCCTGAGCTCAAGCAAATCTCCCACCTCAGCCTTAAGATACTAAAATTATAGACATGAGCCACTGCACCCAGCCTAGATTTGCTTCTATATGCCTTCTATATGCTTCTATATGCCATTGTAAGAACTGCAATTCTAGCATGTGTATAACTCCAGTCACTGTTACTATAAATAATTACAAAAAGAATACTAGGGACTAGGATCATAGGAAGGTAGAATAGGAATAGAATAGGAGTAGGATCTTTTTTTACATAAGTCTTGAAAGAAATAGGGACACTGAAAAAAGCAAACCCAGTCCTTAGAACCAAAATTTGTAGTTGTAGGGTCTTTAGTACAAAATTATCGTGGGTATAGATAATGCTTTATAATCTAGTATATTGAAGAAGGGAGTGAAAAATACCTACTCACCTATATTGACTAAACTAAACAAAAGTTTTCTAGAGCTTTTTCCTTCTCAAGCATCCAAAGACTCTCCTTAATAATGAGCCATTATTTCATTTTAGTGAATGAAAAATAATAGTTA